ATTCAAACACCTCATTTCCTCTCCGGCTATTATTGCCGCGTTTGGGAATCTACCTGCAATATCTCATGTTTCTTGTTTAGGTTATTACACTGAAGATAGTCGTTTGTTTGAATTTATGCAGAAAATAAATAAACAGAATACTAAACACAACCAAATATTTATTGTGGCAAGTGCAATCTAAACACGGTTTCGAGATACAATTGTTATAAATATAGATCTGTGTGAAATTGAATATTGCGTTGCACAGTGAGCCGACCAAGGAGTTACATTTGGAAACTTCGGAAAAATGATAGATATGACACTACTTACACACTTTTTACCGAGTCATTTCTGTAATGCGCAATCGTCTATATTTAATAACCGTGAGAACCCGGTTCCATTGTGCACGAAATCTAAGGAAAGTTCGAAACACGATGTTAATCTGAAAGTGGATTAATGCACCAATCACAAGTTATAGATAGCAAGTTTGAAGTCTTAAAAAGTATGTTTCTTCATTACAAGAAACTAAAAACTGACGGCTCGTGCTCGCCATCGATTTACATAATTGAATCCTCAGCTTGATAGACCTGATAAGAAATTATTATTTGTAAGATTATCGGATATTTCTAAACGAAAACTTGATCTTTCTGTGAAGTCGAGAAAACCTCATTCAGTTATTTCTTGAATAAACCTCATCAATAAGATACTTTTAGTTATAATCTTGTTCAATTCCTTGAGAAAAACGCTTTTTTGAAATTCTTTCAATTCATGAAATTTCACTCGTATTCATTTCTTCAGTTATAAAGAGAATTTTGCTCGTTACTTTTCAACTGACCTATGATCAATATCACAATCTCACAATATTACATTTATGACGAGTAAAATTATTCATATCGTGAAAAGATTATCACGGAATGGATAGAAAGTGATTTTGTTGCATTGAAGAGTCAATGCAAAAAACACTGCTCTAAAAAGTTTATGTTTTCAGGTAAAAAATTGCTTCGCAAATTAACGATGTGGTAGTATTGTGCATACCATTGTACCAAATTGTAATGTAAGTCACCGGTATGTGCTTGATTTCTTGAACAAGTTTTACGAAACTGGTTCAGTTACAAATAAAAAAGAAATAGTTCCAGATTACTAAATAAAGCAGCTCAAATTGAAGTTTTGAGAACATTTGCTGCAGAGCCACGAGCTCCTTACGATCAGTATCAGAACAGACGGAAATGTCACGCGAGACTGTAAGAAAAGCATTGAAAATGCATGAATTTCATTCATATAAAATGCAGATTTTTCAAGAGCTTTACAAGGATGATTATGATAGAAAAATAGAGTTTTGTGAAATTATGTCTCATCGAGTCAATACCATCCCTAATCTTCTGTTAAACATCTGTTTCAGCAATGAGTGTTGATTTTTACTGAATCGCAAAATTTCGACGAAATTGGCACTACTGGAGTGACGAAAACCCTCATACTTATTGGGAAGGGCATACACAACACCCACGGCTAGTATTCTTGAAAATGACATTATTGGTCCATTATTTCTGGAAGAAAACTTGAGTAACAGTCTTGAAAAGACTATCGATCCTTTATAACTCACGAGTTAGAAATTCAAATGGATGCAGATGGTAAAGAACTTTTGCAGGAGGATCTGTTACAGTTGAATGGCCTTACAGATCACCGGATTTAACACCCTCAGGTTTCTTCAGTGGGGGCATCTTGGATCCGTTGTTTATAAAATACAACCATTGAAGAACTTAAAAGACGAATTACAGAAGCATGCCACTCAATTTATATTGAGATTTTTCGTAATGTTAGAGGGGATTTCGAAAACAGACTTTATTACTGTTTAGAGCAAATTGGACGGCATTTCGAACAGTTTATAAGATAAGCGGAAATGGATTTTATGTTTGAAATGTCTCGCATTTTAAATTTTATTTTGTAAAAGAACAATAATAACTAACAAATGAAAAATTCCACGCGTAATACTTTTATTCCTATCATTTAAGGGTTGGAACGATGTCACCTACTCTTCTAAGCATTGTATTGAAAAGAGTCAATACAATAATGCATTTCAGAACAGGCAAATTCAAATTACATGTGTAGGTTTTTCGGAAAATGCTCATCAAAAAATAATAGGTCAGGGTACCATTGGAAGCAGAATTGAACGCCAATCAAAAAGATGTGTCACTTGACCTCCCTTCCCTTTTAAAATTTTAGAGGTAACATCTACCCCTCCTAAAGGGTTGAACCATGAGGGCTACTAATAGTCCTTGAAAGTGTCCCCCTTGACGATGAAATTGACCTGTTTTTTACATTCCTCATATCGTTAACTGAAAGGATATATTTACTGAAAATAAGATATTAAGGGTGAGAAGTTTTCTAATTGATACCCTGTATATAAAAGCTGCAGATAGAGACCGAAGAGAAATTTCGTTTGGTGGTCGATATCAGAGCTTGTTTTTGCAACAGACCCCCGCTAGGAGCCTCATTTTTCACTGATTTTCGTAGCTTGAGTCTTCCGTCGATCCCATAAAATACGTTTTTGTGAAGGAAGATATTTATCCATGCTTACTTATACTCATGCTTGTTTAAAAAAAAGAGCTGAACAAAGCATTCATAGTTCAGCCTATCAGAATCATTGGTGGGATTTAGGATTGGATCGCGAATGATTTATTTTTGGACCCTGGTTTTAACTAATGATTTTTTTATACAAATATGTGACAATTACTGAAAATTTTCAATAGATTATGAGAAAACTAATAATTATTTTCGGCGCACACGCCAGTATTCAAACTTATTTTGATTAGTGAAATATTTTCAAGCAAAACAAAATTCTTTTCATTGAAACTGGTGTCACGGTTGATCGTCTTGTTCACCAGATGAAGGGTCCGATAATATTGTCCCAGACACTAACAGAAAACTGTTGTTGATGATGGATTTCTACAATATCCTGTGAATTTCGGAAAAAGTTGTCTTCCAAACTGTGGGTTATTCTCTAAAGATACTGATTAAAGATAATTTGCATCGGAAAGAGTCACTGGGAAGCAGTGCTTGCATACTCTTTGAACATGGTGAGGATCAAAATGATTATTCATTAAGATCCTCCAAATAACTTCGTGACTAACATTTAGATTTTGATCAATCTTTTTTTATACTAGTTTCTGGATACTCTCCCATTTCATTCTTCGGCTTGTGGAATTCTAATAATTATATCTTTCCAGTTCCGCCTTGACAAAAATACATAAATACACTCATCTTCAAGAACCTTACAAAGTGCATTGAGCATAAGCTGAGAATTCGTGACAATCGACATATTTCATAAAATTAATATTGTAACATACAAAATCTACTAGTTTATAATTATCTTACTATGAATACACTGACTTGTTACTTGATGAAAATTAATAACAATATTCAAGATGCGTTTCACTACACGTACCTGTAGTAGGTACCAGTTGGACTGGTACGAGTCCGACTGATAAAAGTACCGTCTAGTATTCATCAGAAGTTAGTGAAAAATTTGACGCATATATTCAATATGTTTGCCAAAAAAACGAATCAATAAGCAAATGTCATAACAAGGTTTTCATGGCAATCTTGTTTCTCATAATGTGAGTAAAAGGAAATTGAAAAATATTCACCATTTTCAGAACAAAGAAAACTAGATCGTATACTTATTGTACATATATTAATTTTAAGTAGAATTGTTATTTGTGATTATTTTTCATTGTGACATAGAGATATAAATACATTTTTGTTGTTGTTTGAACATTTAATCTACGTGGCACCAAAGATCTTCTAAATGGGAATAAACTATGAAAATCGAATAGAAAACATAAAAAATGTTTCCACATGAGAAATTGTTTTTTTTTTCGAAAAGTAATCAGTGAAGTAGTAAATAATAGGAAAAGTTGAAAGTGCAAGGTACAGGACCATGGATGATTTCGAGAAAAAAACTCCTTTAATAATATTCACATGACATTCAAGAACACTCTTCAAATATGATGGTTGTAAGCATAGGAACCGCGCGTTCGCGCGGTTCGCGCGGTTCCTATGCTTACCAACGGAAGCCGGTACGGTGCTAATTTTGAAAAAAAAATCGTTTATTTTCAAGAATTGTGTAAAACATATTCACCCTTCTCTTTAAAACTATCTATTTTTCGGAATATCCAAAGAAAATATTTTTATTCTGAAGAAAAGTCATTGGAGACGTTTTCAAAATGAAACAAACCAAAGAAAAACTGCAAGTTTGTTCCAAATCTGAATGCGGAGTCACATTTTGCCTCGGAATCTTTAAGATGAGTATCTGTATAATTATTTATCTCATTTTCTAATAGGCAAAATTATCAAATATGATAAGTAAGGTACTTACTGATAAATAGAACATTTTTCTTTACCCAGTAACTACTAGGGTGAACTGAAAAGTTTACCCTTTCTGTACCATATGAAGTTCTCTATAACAATTTTTATTTTCTTTTACCGATTGTGGAAAGTAAAGAAACCCAAAAAAGGTTGATGAAACAATATTTTTATATTTTTCAAATATTTCCTGACCTATACTAAATCCTTAAAAAAAAAATATAAAATTTTGTTGTATTACTTTTTTTGAAGAATTTCTAGAAACTTTCCATATACGATAATGTTTTTGAGATAATGCGAAAACTAAATGGAAAAATAGGGTAATAAAAATGGTATACAGTGTCATCCCCATANTTTTTCGAGATTTTTCAAAATAAGAGTACTTTACTGTTGTACTGTTTTACTGTATTTTGTTGGTTTTTTGTTGTTTTAAGAGGAGTAACTTTTTGTCGAAAAACCCTTAATGAATAAGTTCCCCATATGGTGCATACTTTGGGGATGACACTGTATAAACTTTTCGATATTTTCGGTCAGTCAGAAAATAGCTCGTCAAATAAAATATTAAGATATTGAAGAAAAATGCTAACACATATATAGAATGACTTCAACAGAACACTATCTGATGATAATACAAAAATATACTGTTGAAAAAAACTCACTTTGAAGCAATGGGCACCAGGGTCCAATCGTACCCCTGCAACACTTTGGTCACGGCATCATTGATCTCACTTTTATCTAAATCTTCGCCTGTCGCAGCACCGACACTTTTCTTCGTCGCCGACGCCTGCTGCTCCTGCAAAACGGTGGCGGCACTCGCCGCGACGCTGGCCGCCGTCGAAGCCGAGATCGACACGGACGCTGAACTCGAAATCGAAATGGACATCATTCTCAAATAAAAAACAACTGAAGTCTATGAATGGATCCGCCAAGAACAATGATATCACGCTCTACTACGGTACAAATCAAAGAGTGCTTTGAAAAGCTCTGATGCTGTTTCATATATTACGCGGGAGGATGTTGGTTTCGACTCAAGATGTTTCCTGTCTCCGTCAGCGTGGTGGCAAAGGAACGAGAGCGCTAATCGAATTGTTAAGTCGTGTAAGAGAGATCGGACCAATAGAGACGAAGGTATGTGAGTTGAGTCCGCCTTTGACTTATGATTGGCGTGATTCCGCAGAGATCTGATTATTCTATTTTCAGTTTTGAAGTTTTCTACAATCGAAGAGTTGCTTAGAAAAATTGACGATTTTGTGTAATTTGTTCCATAGGCTTCATACTTCAGGTTCAGAAAAACTGGTGGAAAAAATAAATTCATAATGTACCTACCTATAGATACCTAAGTCTTCAAGGATCAGAAGTAAAAATATTTCCTAATCTGTTTTGAGTTTTCAACTCAGTACCGTCTTTCGAAGTGAACTCAAAAGTTTTCAAAAAAAGCGGTGGCAAAAAAATCAGATTTCCCAAGCATCCAAAGAAAAGTAGGTGTTGGTAGGTATATATTTGTTATCAATTATATCATATTCAGTAGGCAAAATTCATTAATAAAAGTTATTGACTAATTACACTTTTTCCTGAGTAATAACAAAATTGAATTTTGATCGAAATGCGAGTATAGAACAAATGCATTTTCATGTTCATGTTGGTTTTCTTATACCTAGTACTGAAAAATAGAAGGTAAGACTCACTTTTAAAAATAAACCGTTGAAAAAACATTTATCATGTATCCAATATCATTCAAAATATTTTATGAAGATAATTACTTTCGACTCGTAATGACAAGAAATATTTTCTAATTTCGAGTTCTTAACATAACGTAGTCGTTACTACGTGGTAGGAAATCATCATGAAAAATGGAAAATAAAACTTTCCTTACCACTTGTATCTGTAGATACAAGTGGTAAGGAACGTTTTATTTCCCAGTGCAGTTTCGTCCAATAAGGACATTTATTGTATTCGTTTATTGCATTCGTCTGAAAATGTCCTTATAGGACGAAACTACAGTGACTTTAGTTACAAATGCAAGTGGT